AGACTGGGAAATATTTGCCACTCAATGTACTTTCATCAAACAGTACCACACACCCAGAAAGGATTTGGGGTCAGTCAGTCAGAAGCAAGAAAAATAACTTCACTCTGTTATAAAAAAAAAAAAAAAAAAAAGGAATAAACTAAGCTGTTCCTTTCTAACAAAAAGAACTTTTTTTTTTTTTAATTGAAGGCATGGTGACACATGCCTTTAATCCTAGCACTGGAAGGCAGAAGCAGGCGGATCTCTGTGAGTTCAAGGCCAGCCTGGTCTACATAGTAAGTTCCAGGACAGCTGGGGCTACAGGGAGACCCTGTCTCAAAAAGACAAAAAAAAAGAAAATACACTAATCAACTGTCCCATGAAAAAACAGATTCAGGAAAACCTGGTTATATAGCTCTTCCAAAGAAAGAATCCCAGTCACTTCTTCCCCACCTCTGACCCTGGACCAGCTCCTTACTCACTCAAAAGTGGTAGGTTTCAAGGCAGAAATTAAGCTTACTTGGTCCCAAATTCATTTTGCTAAATCAACTTTTGGGGTTAAAAAATAAATAACAAAGTCGGGCATGGTGGCGCATGCCTATAATCCCAGCAGAGGCAGGCAGATCTCTGTGAGTTCAAGGCCAGCCTGGTACACATAGTGAGTTCCAGGTCAGCTGGGGCTACAAGGAGACCCTGTCTCAAAAAAACCAAAAAATAAATAAATAACAATGACCACAACAACAAACTTTATCACTTGCAAAATTCCTAATCCAGGACTGGAGAGATACTTCAGTGGTTAAGAGCAGTTACTGCTCAAAGCTGAGGACCAGACTTCAGATATCGGCACTCACATCCTGCAAATATCTGTATCACCAGGTGGGAGGGACCCAACAATCTGTACTGGCCTCTGTATGCTCAAAGGCACAGGCATCTCACAGACATGCACACACATAAATATAAAAATTCAAAGTCTGTCTAAACAAAGGAATTTTCTCCAACAGTGTAAAACAGCTTCTCTTTCTTCTCTCTCTGTCACTCAGCACATACTCATTGTGGATCATAACAGAGACCACTTCTGCTTGCATATCTCACACTAATTTTTTCCTCTAGGGTTGGGTAAAACACAAGAACACCAACAACAGAGACATTTAAAGACTCTTTAGAAAACAAGACCTCTTCAATTATGAATCCCCTAAAGGGATCCCCTAAAGGGATCCAAGAGCAATTTCATTCTCTAAATCTCTGAATTCATATGTAAAAATTTTATACATTTGCATATATATGTACTTCTCTGGGATTAGGGCCTAAGGACTCATTAGCTTATCAATGGAGGTTCCTGCCACACAATGAAAAACCATTACTTTATAGCATACTTTATGGCCCAATTTCAGAGCTAGTTTTTTCCAACCAGTCTTCAGGGAAGGAAATGATGAGTGTTTTGGTTGTTTTGGAGGAAGGGAAAATGATAATAGGTTGAGAATTCTTCAAGCAGAGCTGATAAAATGGGACCTTAAAAGATGGGTATGATTTGGGCCAATGGAGAGGAGCGTATTACAGGAAAAGAAACTGGCATGACCAGAAACACAGAGGTGGGTTGTGTGAGGCAAGGGTAGACAGTGACAAACAGATCTGCAGCACTGAAGGGTGCACTTAGAGGAGCCATGGGAGACAAGTGAATGAAGTGAGACCAGGCCTTAAGGGGTAATCCTCAGCCTGAGGCAATGAACATCCTCAAAAGCCAAAAGATTTTAACAGAGATTACTCCAGTGGTGATGGGTGGGATGGATCTGAGACGTACCCAGGCATATAAAAAAAAGGCTATAACACAAGTCTAAGCAAAAGGGGATGCTCTGCAGTCAGAACGTCATGTCTATTTTGCGATCCTCTCTACACCCAGTGTGCATCCCCAGATCAGACACAGGGTAGGTGCTCAGTAAAGATTCAGAGGTGAGTGACTAATGGAGAGGAGCGTATTACAGGAAAAGAAACTGGCATGACCAGAAACACAGAGGTGGGTTGTGTGAGGCAAGGGTAGACAGTGACAAACAGATCTGCAGCACTGAAGGGTGCACTTAGAGGAGCCATGGGAGACAAGTGAATGAAGTGAGACCAGGCCTTAAGGGGTAATCCTCAGCCTGAGGCAATGAACATCCTCAAAAGCCAAAAGATTTTAACAGAGATTACTCCAGTGGTGATGGGTGGGATGGATCTGAGACGTACCCAGGCATATAAAAAAAAGGCTATAACACAAGTCTAAGCAAAAGGGGATGCTCTGCAGTCAGAACGTCATGTCTATTTTGCGATCCTCTCTACACCCAGTGTGCATCCCCAGATCAGACACAGGGTAGGTGCTCAGTAAAGATTCAGAGGTGAGTGACTGAATGAACACAAATTAAAGATAATATAAAACAGACAAGAAGTCTCGGTGATTTGAAAATTCACCTTACTACTACCATTCACAGAGTCTAGCAGTACCACATATAGGATAGATGCTGAGGAAAGCCCTTAAATTGGCCTGAACCAAGCTGGCTAGCCATGCCAGGTAAGAGTGAAAGAGGAGATCAAGCATACTTAGAGAGAGGCTGGGGATGTGCTAGTTCAGTAACATGGGCTTTATAAAGAAACCAAGCCAAAGTGGTTTGGTGGTGGCAAGAACCCTCTAGGGAAGGTGAAAAGCTCAGTTCTGGGTTCTATTCCTCAAATATATGTGCATATGAAAGACAAGTAATGATCTCAGGGGCTCTCTCGTAAGGCGCTTTCTAGAGCTAATTCTTGAACCAGTTATATATTTCTGTAATTCTGCAGCTTCTCTCAAACAAATCTAGTCAAGACCCATGAGGCTAAAACCCTTAGTACTTCCTTTTCTTGAGTCTTACTCATTTTACAAAAGCACATCCTGACACCTCTGTGTACTTAAGCAAGACACTTGAGACATACCCTGCAGCAGTGATTCAAGTGTTCTAAGTCTATAATCAGTCTTGTGGTTGCCCATGGCCTTGGTAGTACCATTGGTCACAGTTAACTATATAACAACAAAATGGCAAAACCTGGCAATATAATTTATTTCTGCATATAGTCTACTTCTTTCCTTTTATCCGCTATGATGGACACCAAAGCATAGACTTCTGTTCATTAATCCTGACTAGAGGATGAGAAATAGATACAGGAGAAGGCTTTGTTTTCACAATTAAAAGTGAAAGAGCAAGGTGGCCCTGGAGTCTCTGTCCGGTCAAAGGCATCTATTTATATAAAATACCATAGTTCCTTAAATTGATTCCAGCAAAACAAGAAACACAAAACTTGAGCAAATGAGTAAAATGTTCCTTGATTTCTTGTTGCTTTCCTTTAAGTAGCACCTATTCATCAAGTTGGACAGCAAGTCACATCTATGCTCCTTAAGAATGAAGCACACGAACAAGCAAAATCTCCCACTAAAAAGCCTGCTATGATGATTTTGTCTTGGCTGTGCTATTTTAATAAGGAGGACAAAAGGGGGCGTATTCTAGGGCTCTAATTCAAATTTGTACCTATAAAATAATAAGTATCAGGTTGTAAGCTGTCCAAGTACCCAAGACTTCTTCTATAGGGTTACAAAGATGAAATGAGTTGTTCTACAACTTAACTCTAAACATTGATTATCCACATAGTTGCCCTCTGGGTAATGTATAATCAAAAAGATGTTAATCTACATATTCATTCTTAATCATGCTTACAGGGAAAATGTATCACACTGTAAGAATAAGTTGGTTATCGGCCAAGTTTCAGGCATTTCCAGCTGAGGGTGGGAGAGAACAGCTGAAACTTGATGCAGTCAGGTCTACAGTTCACCCATCCTTAAATTTATGTGTTCCACGTAGGAGTTCTCTCAGTCACACAGAACTGCCACCAGCTGTCATAGAACACAAGGAGGCAAACAATCCTCCCAAATGATTGTTAAGCAAGTTTAATCTTTACCACATTCTTACTACACATCAAACAGTCCCCTCTAATAGAAATGCTTTTAGTAAAATATTCACAACTAAGTTTTCTGTGGAATAGGAATTTCTAACTTAAGAGTTCAACATTATTCCACAACACTTTCATATGCCCTACAGTTGTTTAACTGGCAAGTGTCTTCCAAACTCTCCCCCTTTGCCTCTCTGAGAATCCACAGCACTCTTTTAAGATTTTTGTGCAACAGCTATATTTAAAATAAGGTGTTTTTTTTAAAAAAAGTAAAATACATTAATTTCTCAGAAGCTTCTGGCTTTTAAGTACCTGTTTAACCCTATGAGTTGGTCAGAAGCAGAGCCATTTTTGTTTGCAGTTAAATCTTAGCTAGCTTTTGTAACCCAAATCCATAGCCATCACACAGAATCCTTGCCCCATATTTTCCTGAAAAATGTCCTAAGTTATTCAAGGGTGTCTTGAAAAATACAGTGCTCCTGCAAATGCAGGTAATTCCAACAGTTCAAGTGCTCTACGGAGAGAGAGAAGAATGATGGGAAGGTATAAGCAGCCTAGAAATAAGAATCTGGTCTCACTGCTGCTCTGCTGTCATCTATCAACAGTGGGGACACCAGAAAACTTGCATTAACAAAACTGCAGACTACTTTGACTCAACACACGTGGTCTCGCTGCTTCTCTTTCCCATTCATCTTTTCAAAAAGACAGAACAAGTTGGCAGGCTTCTGCCTACAACAGTCAAATGCTTTCCCTTTTACCCACCTACTCCTGTGCCTGATTTTCTCCTAATAAACACTATGGAAGCAACAAAGAAACAGTGCAGTGAGAGTTCAGGCCATGAAAGAAATACTCTTCTGTAAATACACTGAACTGAAGAGGGTGTGTAGCTGTTGACGGTTTGTAAAATTTCTTGCAAAGTTTTTTCAACAGACTCTTTTGACTCAGGCATGATCACAAAAAGGAATGATGACAGCTTTGTGTGTTTCATTTGCTCAGCTTTTGCAAGTGAAGATGGTTGTTGCCCAAATACAGAACTCCTTTGCCCTCAGATCTTCACACATATGTAGCACAATGATGAATAAAATACGTTCATGTCATACCACTTCCAAGTTTAAAGTGCCATGCTAATGTTGCCACATGAATCCCCACAACACCCCTGTGAGGTAGGTAGGTGGACAGTAGTGTCATCCCCAGGTGGGAGAAATGAGGCACAAGATAGTTGAAGGACCTGCCCCAAACCACACAGCTAGTCACTGGCAGGGCTTAGAATAAAATTGATATTGATTAGCACCCCCTCTTGGTGCTTCACACGTAGTAGGTGTCCATTGACTTTTTGAACACTTATTTGACTTCTGTTTCAACACACCATATACACATAAGTACAAAAGCCACCAAAGGACATTTATCTCCTATATTTTTCTGACTATAGCTCTCATTATTTCAAACCACTAGATGAAGGATGGTCAACAATCCATTTGACTACTAAGTCCTCAGTTGAAGAGAATCAATGTAAACATTCAGTTGATAGCCCACTCAAGTACCTGCCCTACCACACAATATTGGTTTTCTAATGAAAACAAAAAATGGATTTCAGGAACCATGCTGACATTTTTTTTTTTTTTTTTTTTTTTTTTGCTTCTTTTAAATGGAACCATTTGAATGGTTCTATGTTTAGTTTGTACGAAAAAAGAAATAAGGTGGCATATACTCCAGTTAACATGTGAAAACTGGGCCAAGCTTGAAAATTTCCTCTCAGCTCATACGGATTTCTACCTGGGAAAATGAACCAATCCCAGGGAGTGGCAGTTCCAAAAGAAGAGGGTCAGTGAGGTTGGGCATCACTTGCACTGCTCATGGTCTGTGTAGTCATCCATGTCCACATCAGAATCGAACAATGAGTGTCCAGTAAAATCTGTGTCTGGGGTTCTGGAAAAACTGTTCTCGGCTCCCTCATCTTCAAAGGTCTCTGTCCTTGAGTAGAAGCTAAAATCCAGCATCGGAGTGTGTGTCTTGCTGCCTTCGCTGCTCTCCTCAGATTCATAGATGGTATTGTCATCATCATGGTGCCACTCAGGCCAGAATTTCCTCCTGATCCTCTCACAGTACATAGCAAGGTTGATCAGTTCACCTGTAGTAGGGCACAAAAGCAAGAGTTAATTCTCAAAGGCAGCAACCTAATAGTACTATGATCAAAATGCCCATGTCTCCCAAATCCAAGCGTTGAAAAAATCCTAACTCCCAAGGAGATGTTGTCAGGAGGTAGGGCACTGAGCGGTGGTTAGGATATGAGGGCAAAGCCCTCATGACTGGATAAATACCTCCAAAAAGAGATTCAGTGATCTGGCTGCTCCTTCGACCACATGAGAAGCTGGTAAGAAGGTAATCTGTGAACTGGGACACAGGCCTTCCCCAGACACCAAATCTTCTACATCATGATCATGAACTCTCAGCCTCAAGCACTGTGAGACACAAATTTCTCTCACTTACAAACCACCTAGTTAATGATATGAAGTAAGACATGGGATAGCCACTGGACCTCCTGGGTATGGGAAGAATGAGGTGGGGTAGACATTAACAGTTTTATCTCAGAGATTCTGCCAAAATATTTAGATTTTTAAACACATAGTAAGCACTTAAAAAAAAATTTTATGTTTCGCCTGCATGTATGTATGTAAGTGCACCCACTCATGCATTCAGTGCCCACAGAGGTCAGAAGAGGGCATCAAATTCCCTGGAACTGGAGTTATGGACAGTTGTTAGCTGCCATATGGGTTCTGAGAACCAAACCTGAGTCCTCTGGAAGAATAGTCAGTGCTCTTAACCACTGAGCCATCTCTCAAGCCCCTACAAAGTAAGCATTTTAAAAGTAAGAAAAGTTAAAATTTAGTGAGTGGGCTGAATGAAAAATAGGAGTGAGTCCTGTGGTGACCAAAGGCCAAGGGGCAGCTAACCTAAAAGAGCAGCAACCTGGCTTTGTGAAGCAGTTTAGCATTTCATGCTTGCTTATCAAAAGAACTAATATATCTACTGGTTCATATTTAAATTAATTTATATTACATGAAAGTATCAACTGTTGTTTATATTAAATCAGCCAGAAATAATCATTCATGCCACAAATTTCTACAGCTTTATTATAGAATGGGTACTATAGAAAGTAGCTTTAAAAATACATTAGGATAAAGACCTTACCCTGGATAACTCAGAACAAAAATTGATATTTTAATCTTTTAAATTTTTCAAGTTAAACGACTATATATACAACTGGGTTCCTCATCAGTCATTTGATTAATTCTTTTTCATATAAACCAAAGGGACACTTTTATGAAGTCACTGAACATTATCTTTCTAAACATGACATAGTATTTGACCATCAATTCCCAATTCAAAATGAAAAAAATGAAGAAAAAGACTCAGCTTTTGCCTTTGACCCACCAGATGGCAGCATTGCTTATAAATATATAATTTGACACTATCTTTTTGTAGGCTATTATTATCCTAAGAATATTCTTTGTATATTTTTTTCAGCTATAGAAACACTTACTATGTAAGTAATCCACATTTATTGAAGAAAAGTAGGAAATATAGATAAGCAAAAAATTCAAGAATTGCCAATAATAGCATTCTCCATAACAATTTCTTTATAATCTTCCAGAACTGTTTATGAATGTTTTTACATATACTTACATTTGCTATACAGTCTGTTTCCTGTCCCTCTTCCACTTAATACACATAAAAATCTTTGAATTTCACACTATGATCATCATGAAAACCTCTTAGTGTATTATTATGTAAGCGCACACTAACTTTATTTCTACCAGTCCCCATCGCAGTTCACCACACTATTCTGAAAGCTCTGCTGATTATAGTATAGCTATTCTAGTTTGTTTTTCTTTCAAATAAAGTAACATAATTTGTAAAAATTAAAAATCTATACATAGAAGCTGCATAAACTCATAAAGAAAAAAAATCAGAAAGCACCCATGACATCAATCCAAGATACTCACAATTAACATTTTGATTTAATTTCTTTCCCTTTTTCTTTTCTGCTTATTGCCATTTACTTATTGTCCCATGTAACATTATTGTAAACATTTTCCCATGTCATTAAAAATTCAGAATCTGATATGTGTTTTACTTAAATTTACACCACATCTGTACACAACAAAGCAGAGGCCCTGCTTCGTGGACACTGCAAACCAGTGGTCATGTACTGATTCAAGGCCACCACTTTTACCTTAAATCACAACACTGAAATCGACACAATATGTGTCCACGCTGGTTGTTCTCTACTGAAGGTATTTATATACATGTTTGGGAGGCAGAAGCTGAGAAGTCAGCATTATTGCTCCTTCTAACAGGATGCATGCAAAATCTTTACCAATTTTCTCCTTCAAGGTCAGACATCTTCCCAGGTACCACTGACAATCATAGGTAACCAAGAGCTGGAAATGAATGTGGAGGCAGCAGAAAGAGGGAGAAAAAAGAAGACCGAACATGAAAGAAATAGAGACACTGAAGGTCACAGAATGGCTTCATTTGACTCAGTCAAATCCATTCCCCAGAGAACAACTAGGAATTCCGAATTATGAAGTCAGAGCGGTCTCTGTCCCGATTCCTATCTGCAAGCTGGGTAATCTCTTTGGAGGACGATGTGATAAGAATAGGAGGTAGGAATTGGCTGGGGAGTTAGGGTAAAAACACCCCAGTTTCCTGGCTAAACGTCAAAATGTCCTTGGGCCTCTTAGCAACATACTCTGTTCCAAAGGCCAAAAATGTCAAAAATATTTGGGAGCTCTTATCTAATAGAGGTAGGCGGATCTTTGTGAGTTTGAGGCCAGCCTGGTCTACATAGTGAGTTCCAGAAAAGCTGGGGCTACAAGGAGACCCTGTCTCAAAAAAGCCAAAAAAATAAAGAGAAGATTTTAGGGTTGCCTCCTCAGTATGGGAGGAGTTGGAGGGGAGGGAGTGGGCCTGGATTTGATCAAAACACCTTATATGCTTATATGCCTGCGTGAAATCCTCAATAAATTATTTTTAGAAAAAGAGAAAGAAAATTGTGCCTCTTGAAGTTTCTCACCAGGAAATACCCTCCCCTCCTTTTTAAAAAAAACAACTTGCATTATCTTCTTTCTGCATCACTCTGATTTCCCTAATAATCAAAACCATTCTATGGGGCTGGAGGTGACTCAGTGGTTAAAAGCACTTGCTGCTTTTGTAGGGGACCCAAGTTTAGTTCCTGGCACCCACAGGGCAGCTCACAACCATCTACAATATGAGTTCCAGGGGATCTCATTCCCTCTTCTAGAGTCTGTGGGCACCAAACATGTATTCAGTGCATATATATATATGCATATATATATATGCACCAAACATGTATTCAGTGCATATATATATATATATACAGGCAAAGCACTCATACGCATGAAATGAAAATAAATAAATCTTAAAAACAGTAAAATCAAGAATAACAACAAAAATTTTGTGCACAATTTCACTAACACTGGAAATACTGTCACAGAGACCCAGAATCCAAGATCAGTATTCTCCAAGCTGGCACCGGCATATGGCAGCAGTCAGGGAGAAGGAGAAGCTGCCACCTTCTCCAGCAACACCTGCTACCTGTTCTGGGTCATTAACCAGTAAACATTTGTCAAACATGGGCCAATGGCCAAACACACACATATTCTCTGCAGGTATATACATAGCACAGCCCTGTAGCAATGTGTGCATGGACTGCTACAACCTTGGCTGGCTATACAGGCTCAGAGAACACAGGGCTTAGCCTCCTTCAAAAAGTTCTTAGGCTACTGGAATGTTGTAAAAAGGACACTACCCCTGTCTTGCCTCCTTGAAGCTCAAGATAATAAGATCAGAAACACTAACTTATAGATCTCAGAATCCAACACTCACAAAAGCCTTTGGATCCAGCAATTCCTGAGCTCAGAATCCCTCCAGCACAACCTCTTCCTGACTGCTTCCATATGAAGAAGAGAAGGAGTGCAGGGGTGAAGATACACATGTGTGAAATATATAAGACCTATTCAGATTCAAAAAGAGAACGTAAGATGGGCAGCGACTTCATGGGTCCCACCTCACCCACTTCAGTGCTACAGCACTGAATTTACCAGAAACAAAGTCACTATTATCCAAAAGACTGTAAGGAAGACCAACAAAACAGGATGCTAGGTAGAATTTAAGCCCTACTTCAGCAACAACTATTACTGGCCACTATAAAAGGAAGGAATGGGCAGACAGTTGGCCCTAGATACCACAGCCCCGTGGTTTCATAAAGTACAGTCAAGCTCAAAGCACTGACCTGGACCGCCACATGCTGCTCTCCACCCACCCAGCCCAGAAACTGCTACAATCTGAAGAGGGTTCAGTGCTTGCCTTTGATCAGCCGCTCTGGTCTTGTGCCTGGTAAGGTCCACATCGCCTGTGCCAAGTGTCCAAAAACAGTGGCATCAAGTGTGGAAAGCTTGGGCCCCATGATGTATTTCTTGTCACCTGTAGTAGATGGAACAGAGAGGTCACTGGGCTGGCACACACTTTCTAACAGAATCAAAAGGGCATTCAGCACATTTTCACTATATTTCATTTAACTGTGAACCCAAAAGCTTTACCGAGTCAAAACACATGCATACCCCTTTCTTTAAAAAAAGAAAAAAGTGTAAAGTAAATTAAGCAATTCTGTGTCACAACAGCCCCCAAGGTAACAAACCAAGGAATATGTCCACATAAGCAAAGGAGGGTTAGTGTTCCTGGGAAAAAGGAAGATCACCAACTGACTTTCAGACAACCCCGTCTCCAACTGTAGCAATTAAAGCTTGTGATGCTTTAACAACAACCTGTCTCCAACTATAGCAATTAAAGCTTGTGATACCTTAAGTTTGTTAGAACCATCTCAAAAGTAAGTCATAGATAGGAAACAAAACCTCGGTGTTTCTTTGACAAAATCAATACATGTTGTTTTTCAAGAAAAAACAAGAAGCCTAAGCTAAGAAGTTTAGAGGCAAGATTTTCTACAATGCCCCCACAAATGGGGCAACTTCTTAACACAGAGCAGGTGCTTCTTCAGGAAACCTCAAGTAAAGAGAAGTCAGGAGGTCACAGATTCAGCCCTGGTGTCAGGCCCAGGCAAGGATGTTTTACATAGCTGATCCCACATCTCTGTTTATACTACCACTGACTTAACTCAGACCTTGACAGCTGGATTATCAATACTGCCCCAAGTTTTCTACTGGGCTACTGTCAGATACTGTAGCATGAAGAAGTAATAGCAGAATTGACCCAGGTCACATCCTGGTACATGATTATCCATCCTAGTCATTAATTAACCACTCAACATTTTCCTGTCTGCAATAGGGAGATAATGTTAAGAATGTCTGATGGTGGGAGATGAGGTTTACTCAGTCAATCAGTAAAGTGCTTGCAAGCACAAGGACCTGAGTTCAATCCCCAGAACCCACATTAGAAAACAGGTAACATGACATGTGCCTGTCATTTCTGTGCTGTGAAGGCAAACATTTGCCGATCCTTGAGGCTCACTGATCAGCAAGTCTAGCCTATTTGGTGAGTTTCAGGCCAATTAGAGACCCTTTCTTTAACAACAAAACAAAACAAAGGTGGATGGTACCTAAGAATAGACACCTGAGGTTTTTCCCTGGCCTACACAGAAACACCTGCACCTACATGTACTCGCACAGAAGAGAATGCCTGTTCCTCAGGACTATTGTGAGGGTATAAAACATGTGCCATTTCTGAGTAACTCTGTGAACACTTGCTCTCTTCAGACAGGCTCTTTCTGTCTCAGGTCCATTCCTCATTCCTCATGGACTTCCATCTCATAGGGGGAAGCCTCTCCAAGAGCCCTGGCTGCTATGAATACATAATATGCCACATACATCATCATCATCATCTCAAAGACAAAGACCCCAGGAACAGTAAGAAATGGAACTGTGAAAGCTTCCTAAAGACCAAGGGGGAATGCAGAATAGAATTGGGGAAACAAGAATGGAAATCTAAGAGATTTTTTTAAAAGGTGCTCACAAAATAAATACGGATAGAATTTAATATCGGTGGAAAATGTTGAGAGGTAGATGCAAAATTATATGTGCACACTCATAAAAATGCAGTTTATACATTTATAAATTTAAATGATATAGAAATATCTCCTACCATTAAAAAGTCCTCAGAATACACACACTAACCAAAAGCCTTTTAAAACTTCTCTTTTGATTCCCATGTTTTGGAGCTATGAGTCCTTGGGGTCCTGTAAGTCTGGAGCTGTGGCCCCCTCCCATGAGCCAAAGCTGTGATCCACTTCTGTGAGATGGAGCTATGGTCTCCCCTGTAAACCCGGAGTTGTGCTCCCTTCTTGTGGACCTGGAGCTGTGGTTCCCTCTTACGAACCAGTAGATGTGATCCCCCCCTCCCGACTCCCATGAGCTGGGGCTGTAATCCCTTCCTGTGAGCTGGAACTGTGACCCCCTCTCATAAGCCAGAGTTGGAGTCCTCTCCTGTAAACCTGGAGCTGTGGTCCCCAACCATGAGCCATGGTTTCACATTCCTCTGGTGGTGGGCTGATGGTGGATGGAGGCAGCAGTTTCACCCTTCTCTGAGTGGCTGTACTCCTCACAATACCTTCCTCTGAGGTCCCAAGTTGTGCATGGCAGTGGTTTTACCTGTTAGACTTATGCTGGGGAAAGGGGAGGTTTCTGTCATTTAAAGATTCTGATCTTGGAAGAACTGATTCTCAAGAATGGACTTTCTACCTCCCTTGATGCCAAAGTCTTGACTCCACACATGGTCCTGGGCCCCCAAGCCCTACGTTAGACCTTTCCGCTACCTGGCACCAGGAGGTTTTCTGCCATTTTTCTATTACTCTTCTATAGCCCCAGTGAACCTGTACCCTACAGAAAATGGAAAACACCTTACTGAACTTCTAAATATTAAAAAAAAAAAATTAGACAAGAAGTTGGGGAAGTTGGGGGATGAGGGTGAATATATTTAAAATATATTGTATCCATGTATGAAATTCTCAAATAATTAATAAAAAAATTACATTAAAAAGAGTAGCTGCTGACTTAAACATACATTATTAATATGGTTATAAAAATGAAAAACCAGGAAATTAACCATTAGTGCAATGCAGTTAAGTGCTTTATTCAAATTTTACTGGTAACTAGCATGATTTTTTTTTTTTGTTCCAGTATCCAATTCAGGATTCCATGTGGTATTCAGTAGTCCTATCTCCTGCGTGTGCTCCAAAAAAGTTCCACAGTGAGGGAAATAATTACAAAGAACTCAAAGTTTATCAAAAGAATGACCATAGGAATATAACCTTTGTACTGCTGTTTTGTAATACACACACATACACACACCCATGTAAAATTTTGTTGAACAACAAAAACAACAAAATCCTAGGAATTCAAATCTTTTTATTTCCCCCACCTCGGTAAAACCCATTTCTGAGAAGGCCCTTGGTGTTCCTGGAACTTGAACTGGACAGCCCAGAGGTGCTCATTGCTTCTCCTTCCTTTAATTCCTTTGCATCCATTCTATTAAAACTAGCCAGCTGCGAAAGACCTGGCTAGTCTTTCCCCTATTGGCTTGGTCAGACCCCAGCCAATAGGGGAAAAAACACAGTACTCTTGACATTAGGATAAAAACCTATCAAACTTCTAGCTCAGGTGAGCTTGCTTGATCTGAATGGTAAAATGCACATTTTTGCAAAAGTAAAAGCTGCCTTGTCTAGTTCCTTTCTTTTTGTCCATGTGTGTTGTTGTTGCTGTTTGTGTAGTATCAGTGGGGTCCTTGAGCCTCAGATTTTATTTCTAAAAATTAGTCTTTCTAGCTGGGTGTGGTGGCACACGCCTTTAATCCCAGCACTCGGGAGGCAGAGGCAGGCGGATCTCTCTGAGTTCAAGGCCAGCCTGATCTACATAGTGAGTTCCAGGACAGCTGGGGCTACAGGGAGACCCTGTCTCAAAAAAGACAAAAAAAATTAGTCTTCCTTTTTTTTTTTTTTAATAACCTTAGTTATTTTTAAGCAACACTGATCAGAACTGGATGTGGTGGCACAGGCCTCTCACCCTTACCACTCAGGAAACTGAAGCAGTTTTCTCTCAATTCTGAGATCCTCTCTCAATAGATAAATAAATTGGTCAATTATTTTTATCAAGTATCTATCAACTTGGGCTTATCTAAGGCTTTTTTTATGATTCTGTAAGGTCACAAATTTTTAGCAGATGTACTACTGAAATACTGGTATATCCTTCTTTAGTGGCTAATTTTATGAAATTTTATAACTAGGCCATGGAATATACTGTTTGCACAAATATTCTGTGAAGGTGTATCTGGATGATACTAACACTTGAACTTGTGGACTGAGTACAGCAATGTGCTTTCCCTCCCATGAGTCTGACTCTTCCTTTTAGTTGGCCTACTGAATAGAACGAATGAAGAGGCTTACATTTTCCAGGTAAGAGGAATAGCCTTCAAACTGGTCCCCTGGCTTTTGCATGTCTTTGGACACAGTCTGAAGTTTGGTTCTTCCTACACTTAAACCTGCTGCCTTCATACTGAACTACAGCTTCAGGCCTTCATCATTCTAGAACATACCATGGGCTCTCCAGGCTTCCAACTTGCCAACTCATCCTGCTGAAACAGTGCTACAGTACTTGCTTATGGTTTTCTAATTTCTCTCATTCTTTCTACACATAGTAATTAGAATTCTAGCCTTCCTTCACATTTATTAATGTATTCAGTTATTTATGTATGAAAGTATGTACTCATGGATATTTGATTTATTCTATGGATCTGATAACTTGATTTATTTTGAAACAGGGTGTCATGTAGCTTTATAAAAATAGTCTTGTACTTCCTATGTAGACAAGAATAATCTTGAACTTCTGATCCTCCTGGCTCTACCTCCTGAATGCTGAGATTATAGGTGTATGATGAATATTAAACCCAGAGATTCATGCATGTTAGGTGAGCATTCTTTCAACCGAGCTGAATCCCCAACAGAAAGCATTTTTAAAGGAAATATTAATTAGATTTGACTCTACTTATAGACAAAAAGGCCAGGCTAGAGGCTTCAAGTCTACAGCTCTCCTACAGTTCATCAGTTGGTCCCAGATCCCACAACAGAGGGGTTTAGGACAAACAAAATACTAAGGGTGTTGTGAAAAGCATTGAAGAAATAGACATGGCAATGATGCACTTTAAGCTTCAGTTCTGTTAATGGAACCACCCTGACCACATCTGTAGAGATGGGCATAAGCAGTTGGGGATATCTAAGTACCTATGACTCTCCCTGTCAGCCTCCAGATAGGAATGTGGGCTCTAAACCATGGGAGAGGCAAGTAAAAGCTGAAAACTTATACAAGTTTCAGGCAGTGAGAAGCCCAGGGCACATCAGACTCCCTGAAGTGTACTCCAGAGGTGAGGCCATCTCCCAGGCAAAGGGAATGCTTCCTCAAGATCACAAAGCCCTTCTGCCT